TTAACTTTGATAGAAGCAAATACTGGTAATGAATCTTTGTTGTAGTTCATCTGATTCTTCAGAGCATGAAAAGAACAAACTAAATAACATCCATCCAAATATTAGTAATGCCAACCACCATGCACTACACCAGCGCCTTGTCCTTAATCAGTCATCTGGAAATCGTTATTTAGTTCCTTTCTGGATTAGTTCCCAGTAGAGTTTTAAAATCCCTGAGGCCGTTTCAGGGGCTAGTTGGAGTAAGAATATATAACAATATTTCTTATCATTTATCCACAGTGTTTATGTCTCACAGCTACAGTAATAAAACCAGGAAGTGGATCTGTTTGAGCACCGTTAAAAAACAAGGAAATGATTCCCTAAACTCCTTAATGTCCTCATTCGCTGCTTGGTGGACAGCTTTCGAAAGAATCTTGCTGGTTCTCTTTCATGGCATCTTTCACAGAAAATACCCCTCACACCTCTCCACCTGTGTCAGCTTAAAACACTCAGATAAACTCCTGCCTCTGTTCAATTTGTCTCACAGCATTCAACCTGAAGATACACATTGTCACATGAGCTTAATACTGGTTTGTCAATTTTCTGATCCGAGGAGTTTAAAAAAAATCAAAGTAAAGTAAATTGTTACCAGGAGATCAATAAAGGTACCTAACTCCACACACTGTGGCCATCTCCTAAAAATAAACAATATTGTTCCCTGTTTGTGTTTGTAATGTGACTCTCAGTTCTCAATTTTAGCTCTGTGTTTGGCACAGTACTTTCACTTTTAATGTTCAGTTAAACTGCCATGCAGTGGGTACCTATTATTACACAGAAAAGCAGTTATTGCTGCCTATACATGTGACAACATTTTAGTTTCCTTGGATGTCAAGTTTGAATACCTGTACTGTTAACTGTTACTACCAAACTATTTCCACCATTGCCTTCTTAAAATGTTATGCACATGTATATCTCATGTACAGATGTAAAGGAAACCTTAATTCATCCTTAGGCTGAGCCACCTGAAACATCTTGCATTCTGTTTGTCATATCTGTGTTTGTTAAGCTACAAAAACAAAGAAGAGAGCATGATTCTAGATTATTTTTCAGGGCACCAATATTCCTGGTGCGTAGAACGCTCCGCGTTTTATCAAATGCGGCTGATAAAATCTTCATAAGAAAGCAGAGGATTTTATATGAAAATGTTTAATAATATTATGGTCAGGAGAAAATAGTACAGTAAACAGCTTGGCTCAGAGAGACAAAGAGAGTCAGATAGAAACTGAGTCTCATGTAACTTTGTTCATTCCATATCAATGTTATGAATTAAACTTGTTTATAATGAAAAAAATAAAAAGAATTTCAGAATATTTCATTAAAACCATTGTTTGTATATGGGTGATACCTTAAGCCTATTCAAGTAGAGACACTTACATAGTAGAGTAGTACATATTTAACATAATTTAACATATTTATACATAATTAATCCTGACACATCAAAGAGCATACCCATTGTTATTTTGAGGTGCATCAGTTTCAGTAATTACCAGGAAAGTAAAAAGTAAAGATGTATTTCTAAAACATATTTCAGTGGAAAGGCACCTCAAAATGCTTCAGATCATAAAAACATCAAAACAAATGTGCAGTAAAATCATTAAAATCCTTAAAAACATAATTCAATTACACAAAAAAACATCAATGTCCCCACATTAAGCTGGATGTTAGCCATCCCTTTCTACTTCTAGTCCTAAAAAAAACATTTTCATTAGACAAATGCCAAACCATTTTTTGTAGGAGCTAAATGTATTACAAAGTTATTAAACAAAAGATGTGAAAATAAAGACTATAGTCAGTCCTCTGTGGAGCACTACCCCTCTGGCAGTCATAGGGACAGATGGAAGGGTGGAAGTTAGGGAAAACAAGCTTGAAAATGACAGCATAGGGAACTGGAGAAAATAAAACATTGAAAAACCAATAAAGCAAAAGTCTCACAACACTAACTTTCAAAAAGTCTTTTGGTCACTAAATCATATTTGTTCTTATCTTACTCTTAAGTCATGGTAAACAGTTTCTTCTCCTGCTAATTTAAATTTAAGATACCTTTAGTTCATTAATTGTTAACATTGTAATTGTCATTAAAATCAGGTAATTAAACATTACAAAGCTTTACAATTTATGATTTAAAAATTATGCAAGGATTATATTTTAATGTGTATACTGTTTGCAAACACATCAGTGTTTTTAATTGCACGCAGAGCAAATTTCAAGAACTTAACTAAAATAAACATATTAAGTTGTGCACATACAACTCAAAAATAACAATTTAAGGACAACCTTGCTGTAATACAGTCTAAATGTATGAAAAAATCCAAACTGGGTGAAAGGTTAGAGCAGTATTAGAATGTAAAAATAAAAATCTGGATGCGCTCCATGACCTGCCTGAATTTAGATCCGCCTTAAGCACTTTAGGTAAAACACTGGTCCTCAAACTCACTACCTGCTGCCAAAAATGTCTGGTGAGGTCTAAAGTGAGTAAAAAAAACCTGAAATTGTTTTTACGTCGAAGATGAGTAAAAACAAAGTAAATGATAAATTACCCAAAGTTACAGTATTTAATTTAATTTTCTTACGAAGCAAGCATATCTTATAGATCAGATCAAACTGTTGTTTGACAATTCTGATGTCAATGCTTTACTTACTACTCATGCATATGAACCACTATTAAGTTACTCATGCTTATGTGTAAAATAATAAATCCTTTTTGAAATGTAAAATCTACATTCATGTATCCTTTAAAACAGTGGGTCTATTCTTCCAAGTATATCCTGCTCAGTAGTATTCAGTGTAGAAACAAGTCTGAGCAGTTACTACAGTATAAATACTGTACGTTTTATTTGAGGACAGGACTTCTCTTTGGGCCATGGGAGCCTATTAGCCCTGCAGGGCTGCCTGCTCAGGCTTCAATGTGCCGCAGGCATAGACCCTCTGTCAGTTCTTCTGTGCCCTGCCTCCAGTCACTCCTTAAGGGAGATTTTCAAAGTGGTACATCTGTTATGTCACCAAGATGTCGGCGTTAAAGTGATAGAATACTAGATTTTTCAAAATGTATTTTAAGAAGTTAGGAACTTTATCCCCAGCTAAGCGATTACATAAATTATTTTGAGGAAAATTATCGATTGAGCAGTTTATCTGTCTGTCTGTCTGTCTTCACCTACCTACCTGTTTGTCAGTCTATCCATCCATCTTAAATAGTATAATTTGTCTTGGTAATTAGAGATAAAAACATGTGAGAGAATGTATGTTAGCGATAACCCTTAGTACAGTATAGCATGCAAAGTAAAGAGTTCCCTATAATCAGAGCATAAAAGAAGTTGAATTTTCAATTAACTTTTTCTGATAGTCCTCGTAGATACGAGCTTGATTAAAAAATATAATCCATTTTGAGAGGCATACAATTCACATCAGACAAAGAGGACATGTCCATAAGAAAAAGTGCACAAAGTAGGAAGTGCTGGGCTCTGTATCTCAATATTAGCAGTTCCAATGCTTCTATTTCTGTCTGATCTGATTTACAGATCAGACATGCTTCTGCCTGAGTCTATATTTTAGTGTCATGGTACTTTTAATTAAAAACGTTATATCTTTCACTTTTGATTATTCCTACTGTTTATGGAATTTTAATAACTCTGTTAGATATGATTAAGAAGAACATTAAGCTCTGATGTGAGACATGGAATACTGTAAACAAAATAACATATTGCACCAGCGCTCATCATGTGGGACTAGTAATTAGAAAATGGAAATGAATAATGTCACTTCTGATATTTTTCATGTTGTACTCAAGAATCCTGTATTAGAACCTTTCCCAAAGGTTTCCCCTCAACATTTCTGCAAAAAAAGAGCACACACTCATAAAACTATATCACAAAGGAGTTTGCAAGTAAGTTAATATTCATTTCAATGCATATGAGAAAAAAAGTGTGCCATGTTGCAAATGTATTTACGGGAACAGATTTCAAAGTGATGACATTGCAGCTTCTGTGTAATATGTGCAGAATTTATAAGCTAAGCTGGGGAGAACCAATATAAATGAAACATAGGTGGACCACATGCACATGAGAGCTTTTAAAGATTTTTGTATTGGAATGCATCAGTCACTGAGAACCAATAGACAGGACCCAGGTGCTGTGGGCGATCTTGGCTGTCCTCCATTTAGCTTGAACTGCTGCCAGAGTTTTAAATAAGTCAGTGGGTGGCAAAGATTCAAGGGGCATCCCTGTAAGGAGGGCAAATTTGAACTTCCTCTTTAATTGATTCAAACTTGAGGTTGCTAAGTAAATCACACACTCAATTAATAATGCAGTAATAGTAATGAAATCCTAAAGGGTTCATTTTAAAGAAAAATTTCCTTTTTAGATGAACTTAGAGGAATGTTTGTGTTCCTTGCTATTTATTTAAAATAAACCTTCACTGTTCATATTCTCTTTTCCTGCTAATTATAGTTTCCTTTAAACATTCAATAGTTGCTTTATATCTCTGTTTTAATAATCAATTTGAATTGTTTTGCTGAAAAGCACCAGTATTTGTTGCTATAATGTTTCTTGTATTTTAAGCTTCCTTGCCCTCTTTATGCTAAGGACTAAATTGAAGCCCTGCCCACATAAAGGAGGGCCCTCTGATGACCTAGTGTCATAACACTAATATTATATAGAAACAATGTCCTTATTTGGGATTTGATTTATCACATTCTCTTCCCCCCTGTGTTTGTCAGAGATTTGAATGTGATGCCAAATACGCAACCCTCTCCCAAGACAAAAAAAAAATATATATATATATATTTAAAGTATATATACTGTATACAAATATATGTAATATGAAAGAATACATATATATATATATATATATGTCATAATCTTGAGTAATTAACTTAGAATACTGTAATGAATTGTATTCATTTTAATAAATGTGTGAGCAAAGACTGACAGTTTAGATTGTTGTTTTCTTTTTAATTTACTTTGCAGGTCACTGCCTACAGCGTATGTGGCAATCAGGCTGTATCCAGTAATTATTCTGTCAAGCTGGACCTTCAAAATGTTCAACTACTGCTGCTCATGAATCTGCACTCCATTTACAAGTACCGTTAAGGTCAGTGGCGGAGCTAGAACATTTTCCTCAGGGTGGCCAGGCAGATCTCTTGCTAATAAATCCACATGCTTATTTAGCTATGTTTTTAAATTTAATAATTTGTGCTTCTGCAAAATTTAGAAATTAAATGGGTTGAGCAGTTATTCTTTCTCTTGAATTGCTTGTAAATGGCTGCAGAGAGATAATTTTCACCACCATAAAACACAAAAGCTATTGTTAAAAGAGCAGGAACTTCATGGACATATTTATGCTATTAGCACCATAAGCATCCGCTTCAGAAGACTGTTAAGCAATAAGACAGTAGCTGTTTCTAAATATGTGAACTTGTGCGTTGCCATGTGCTCGTGTGTGAAACATCATCAGCCTCAGCTGTAGTACTGTTCAAATTCACAAGAACACAAGAGCGAGAACGGACAAAGTCCCCCGATGTTGTTCTCCCTCTTTACCAAGTATGCATCAGTGCAGACTTGCCTGTTCTTGAGATTGACAGATTTCCCAGCGTGCACCGAGGAAGCAGCAGCTTACAGTGGAGCACTCACAAAGCTCAGACTATTAAGTTTAAAGATCTGTTTTCTGTTGGCATGCATCTATAAAAATATGTTTTAAGGTAATTTGAGGCAAGAACATTATACTTTTAAGCATCCCTATATGGCCCATTTACTGATTTAGAGCGCAATCTAAAAAAAGTTCCAATGTTGAGAGGACCGTGGCAACCAGCGGTCCTCCAAGGCTAACCGCAGCCAGTACCACTCCTAGCCTGTCTGCTGCAGCCCTCTCTCAGCATAGCTGTGTGTGAAGGACCGCTGGCTCTGATGCCAATTATTTGTTTTAATTGGCAAAATGTTAATTTGATTTGTGTTTATCTGACTGTGTTATTATCCCCCCACAAAATTATAAAAGTACGAATTGATTATTATCTAGAGACTATTAATAACAGGAGGTGAAATGCAGCTCCAGACAAGCTGAGCGTGTGGTGATGTCATGAGTATGCTTCTGTTCCAATTGACCCATATTTATGGTGCGTGCTCCCGTTCTCTCCAAAGCCATCCTTTCATGTGTTGTTGTCAAGAACATACTTTGCGAGGAGTCTGTACTCGCATTCTAGTGAATTGAGAAACAGCCGGTCTTTAGTCAAAAACTCCTCCAGATCTGATGCAAGACCCACTTCTTTGTGGCATATCACTATTAAGATGTACAACAACCTGTAAAAAAACTATAAGATACAAAAACATTTAATTTCCAGTTAATTCTTAACATTACATTATTTTTTAACTGAATTGAATTTAGTGTTACATTAATAATTCTCCACATTGAGAGGAGTCGACTGAGGTGGCTCAGACATTGGTTTGGATTTCCCTCTGGATGTCTCCCTTGAGAGGTGTTCCATTCATGTCCCATTTGGGGATACGCTGAAAGGACCATGTCCCTTGGCTGGCCCTGGAGCATCTCGAAGCTTCCTCTAGCAGAGCTCGAGGAGATGTCTGGAGAGAGGGATGTCTGAGAGTCTCTGCTAAGGACGGGTATCTTGATGTACTGTACATTTGTGTCAGTTTATGGTTAATATGCTAACAATTAGAGTCTCAAATTAGTTATGACTCTGCTACTATCTTCTATTTTAGAGGAAAACTAGTTACTCTGAAGAAGCTTAATTACATCCACATGGGAACAGCAAATCACCTGCTAGCGGTAGCTAAATCTGTGGCCAATGAATGGCCAGGGCCACCTCTGCTAATCCCCTAGCTCCTCTCCTGGTTGGCACGGCAGCCTCTTTCTGAAGAAACATAATATTGATTTTAGTTGCTACTGAAGTTAGAAACCTCCTTACCTAAAACTAAAAATTGGTGCAAAATGTTAAAACATTTAACTGGATTTTCTCATATGATTGTTGGCAATTTTTACAGTCTGGCTCAGAATCTACGCTCGGCTGCTAATCAAATCAAGACACCATGCAGATCATATCCAGGTCTTTGTATTGGACATATTTTTGTTTTGTTCACCAGAACCATTTTGATTTTATGACAGAAGAACAAGTAAATATTATCAAGTCGGAAAATTACTTTAGTTTTTTGGATGGATTTCAACTTCATCTTAGATGGAGCAGCTTGACAGATCTTATTTTGAAATGTGCTCTGGATAGCCATGAACTTTAATGTTTACTGCTTGCATAAATAGACATTCTTTTTTCTATTTATTTTTTTCCTCTGGAAATATTATTTAATTCTACATCGTGCTGTCTTTGACTTTTCCCAAAACACTGATGGTGGTTTTAAATGGCTAAGCGGTTGAAGTGCTTTCCTCTGTATATTGTTTTTATTGACTCAGACAGTTGAGGAGCACATAGTGAGAAACTTGAAGATCGAAAAGGGAGTGAGATAATACACCAGGGGTAGTTTATGCTTGGAGCCTTGTCGGTACTCACAGCACACAGAGCAAACACAGTGTCCAAGGTTCTTTTGTTTGTTTGTTTTCAAGATCATCAAAGTGTGTTTTTCCATTACAATGTTAGAAAAAATACAACAAATAAAGCACAGAAAAGAACAGAAGGTCAAATTAACTTAAATAAACAATTAGTTTTCAAATAGCCATCTAATTTCTTAAAAGAAAAAACTTTTATTAAAAAACTATTATAACACAATCCCCATTTCTTTTAATAAAAATCAACACAGTCAACTTCATGTTTTAGAAAATGGCTTTTATTTCCTGTAGCTAAATCATGGCTTGATTACAAACAGATTAAATAAACCCTTCAAATAACAGGAAGGAGATCTTTAAGCTTTTTAAACATGTCCAATGCCAATTTCAACTTCAAGGGACCTTTATATATATTTCATGTTAAGTTTTCCTTAGGCACAAACCAGTAGATCATATAATTAATAAATGGAACCTCATAGTAACATGGATAGAACCTGGCAACGTGAAATAGGTTAAATAAAATATCGAAAAGCTACACATACAGTTCCAATCTAAGGAAATATATGAATATAATATCTGAAGGTATATAAATGAAAGGTAGACTGCGTTTAGGCTTTGAGACTCTAGTAAGCCTCAAATGGAGAAACGGAAATGGTAGTTAATAGTGGCAGGCAATAAAAACTAACTCCTAGGTCAATTGTTGAAGAGGTCACAAAAGCACCAAGAAAAACAATTAAAGATCTGCAGGCCTCATTTACCTCAGTTAAAATTTCTTTAATGATTAAAAAATTAGGAACAATTCAGGCCAGTATGCCATTTTTGGGAGAATTCAAAGGCAGGCTGGGAAAAAAATTAAACCAGTATATTGTCAGTTAAACATGGTGGTCGTGGTAGTGGTATAATAGTCTGAAGCTGCTTTCTTACTTCATGACATCCGTATAGTAGAACACATACTATTCTCAACTGGAACATCCTACAGGAAAATGTATGGTGTTTAATCCATCTTTAACCTCAAACTTATTTCAATTAGCAGGATAATGATCCAGAAAACAACAGTGTAATTGGCTTATATTACACAAAAAAACTACTACAAAAGACACTTAAAGAACTCATTTACAGGTCTAACAAATGCATTGTTCTCACAAAGATTTTTGGATTGCATTTGTGGCATAACTGTTTTGATAATTTAATTTAATGTCAATACGCGTGGTAATGTAAATACGTGTGATAATGTAAATACGTGTGGATGTTATGTGATTTTTTTAACTTTTTTTTATCTTATTGTGTTGTGACTGTCACTATGTGTAAAGCTGCTGCTACACTACAATTTCCCAGCTTGGGATAAATAAAGTAAATCTATTCTATCTATTCTATTCTATTCTATTCTATTCTATTCTATTCTATTCTATTCTATTCTATTCTATAAGAAAAATCTCCATGTGACGGTTTTGATCTTATTATTCAATCCAGTGGTGTTAAGTCTAACTGAAAATAGTTTTGAAAAAAAGAAAAAACCCAAAAGAAAACAAACAAACAAACAAACAAAAAAAAAAACAGCACATATTATTAAATTATCAACATCTGTAATGTTTTATTCATGGACTTCCGTCTAGACCTCAGTAAAGCTTCCATTAATCTCATCTACTGAAGGACAGCCTTGATTTAAGACCTTCATCTGATAATATGTAAACAAGAACACCCTGAAAAGTGTGTGGGAGATTTATGTCTATATCTTATGTATTTTATTTATATAATATAAGTATATAAGTATAAAAATATTTATATATACATATATTTATATATATATATATATATATGATTTTTTTTTTTACTGATATTAATTTTATTTTATTATATTCAAGAAGTTAATTTGGCCAGTAAACACATGAATATTGAAATTAATTAGGTAAGATATCAAGGATTTTAATTTTAAAATCTATTTTGTTTACTGTTTTATATTTATTGGATCAAGAAAAGGTATTTATTTGAGCATATGTAAGAACCCCCAGGTGTTTTGATTGCATGGAGTGTAGAAACCAAGGCCACACAAGAGCTGTGAGCTCTCCGTTGCGCTACTCTGAATTACCTGTCAGCATCGATTACAGAGAGACTGTGTGGATGGGATCTTGGATTTTCTCTCCCTCAGAATTAAGATAAGCTCCTGCCTGCCTGTTTGAGTTGCCCCTTCTTGACCCACCTGTTGAGTGTGATGTGAGATGTGTGTTCTGCCACTGTGGCCATATTATCCTCCAGCAATGCACACAAATGCACTCCTGCCATGCTGGCAGCACTCACTGTCCTCATCTGTTTCATTTCTCCTCATCACCCCTGCTCCCTGTCTCCTCCTCTCACCTTTTGTTTTCAGTCCCTTGTTTTTCTCCTCTTATCCATAACCTCTCTTGCAAAACTATCTGCCTGCTCTTATTCAACCTCATCTCTGTCCTCCAACACCTTGCCAACAATAAATTCCAGAGAGAATTTTCTCCTTCTGGCTTTATCTCTGCAGAAATAAGACATTCTACTTTTGCAAATTGGATGTGTAAGAATTTAAATGGGCCATATAACAGGTCACTAGACTGCACAGAATT